AAACATGTGATAATAGGGTTTTCCCCTTTTTATGGCAACAAAACAGGTGTTAAGATATCAAAACACCAAACATCTTAACACCTGTTTTGTTGCCAGAAAAAAAGGGGGAAAAACCTATTATCATATTTTTGTACTGGCAAAGGAGGTCCCATGATGTTAAATGTGGGAGAGAACGAGTGCAGGGTCCTCAAGGAATAATGGTACAAATATAGTCAGTCTGTAGTGGCAGTGGTTCCCAACCTGTGGTCTGTGGTGATTCTTAGAGAGCAACACAAAGCAGCAATGAGCGCTTGTCGCACACATCGCTCTCTGTTCAAACCAGAGACTGGCCGTGTCATGCAAATCACCCCACTGAGCCTAGAGGTGATGATGACAGCACTTCTTGTGATGTCACTTCCTGGTAATGTGAACGAACAGCCAAAAGGGTGGTGGAATATCACATCATACTTTGTCTCTAATTGGTTATTCGACAAGGACATGCCTTTACTGTCAAAAGTTAAGTAGAAAATCCATATTCCCATGGCAGGCACCAGTCTATTCTTTGGACAATTGATGCTGACTCATATTACCATTTTAATGATGCCTGACCTCCAAAGAACGATGAGCCGAATCAACCCTCAACCAAATGGGAAATTTACATACAAGTTCAAACGGGAAATTACATACAAATTAAAAATTAATCACCCACCCAATATCTTACTCGACGTCCTGGTGTCACATAGGCCAAAAGAGCAATCGGGCAGTGTTCAAAGTCATTAGCAGCTCTGAGTCAATGCTGTACATTCCATATGACAGGAACTGGCGTCTCCATAGGATGACCCATAGATCTGGTTTTAACTTCAGTTAGTCTAATCAGCAAGAATGTTATGGATTAAGTAAAACCAAATGTTGCACTATGGTCCTGATCCATAGCATCATGGTACACGGTAACATTAGCTTAAAACCTCTAAGTAACCAGTTCAAGGTTCCACATAGTAACCAGTTCAAGGTTTGCTTTTTCATATATTTAGAAACATTTCTCCAAATTAAGCTCGATTGTGCTGCTGGTACTATTTCATGAGACGAAGTGTCCATTCGTATCTCTTACACAACAGTGGAATTATTCGGGCCATGGAAGCGGATATCACAGAACTACTGCTGAGATCCCTTCAAGTGACCTCTGGTCCACACAATCATGGACAGCATTTTCCCACCGACTATGGACACAAGAGCAACGTTCATTGTGCAATGGTCAAACCAATATTTGTTTATTCTCAGAGCTGAAATTCAACCAAATTTCAATGTGATGGGATTGTTGGACACAGTCATTGATGATCAGGCTGAGGCAATCAAATCACTGGACTTGAGAGCCCGATTTAATCACAGGTGGCTGCCTGGATTCAAACCCAATAATTAATCCCTGCCATTTTAACACTGTGACCTCTGAGCCATCTGGCCACCTTCATCTAGCCAAAGCAACAAGGAATAGAAATTGGCTCACAACACTTTGGTACGCAATTTTTTTTTACTATCACTGACAATATGAATATCTACCCTAAGTCAAGCAGGTAACTGGCATAATCACTATGGGCAAATCCTACATGCTCGATCGCAAGCATCCTCTTATGCATATTCGATGGGAAGTCTAAGTGAATATTTTGATAATTATTACATGTCCAGCATGTTGCCAACTGGTGCCATGATGAGTTAATGGTGTCAGCCCAGTCACCACTGACTGTACCAGTGTGACCATTATGTTACATTGGCAGGAGCACTCGTGACATCCCGCAATTTGGTGATTGTTCTATTAGCCCTAAAGAGAAGAGCTACTGAGATGGTTTCGTGATAGATGTTCCCAGTTTCAAAGACAATGCATATATATTATCAGAGTACGTTTTTTGTTTGCATTCTGGCCACAAGTATTGTGGTTAATGCAGACATGATTCCTTGTAAAAGGTTTCAGTTTGGTGTTTTAACATCTTAACAACTGTTTTGTTGCCAGAAAAAATGGGAAAACATTTTCTCATATTTTGGTACTGGCAAAGGAGGTCCCACGATGATGATGGTGGTTGACCATTGTTCAGCCTGTTGTGTTGGTGGCGATATCTTAACTACCTTGCCTGGTATACAGGAGGTCGTGGGTTTGGTCACACCCATTAACAGCTGTATATTTGGAGTTTGCGTGTTCTCACCATTATCGTGTGGATCTTTCTCCGGGTCCCCCGGTTTTTCCCTCCACATTTAGAAATATGTGTTTAGAGTATTGAGCTGTAATACATTTCCATGTGATAAGCCACTTCGTTGAGCTATCGTTTGTGGCCAGTCGCTTCTGAAAAGAGCGACATAGCTCAGTGGGCCTTGCCTGGTAAAATATAAATTCATAGTTTAGTTTGTTATTGTTTCTTAACTGCACTCCCCTGTGCTTTGCACTTCCGAGTTCTATGCAGAATTGTCTCCCACTGTTATGCCTTGCAAGAGGAATTTTAATCTCAACAGCCTGTTATAAATGTAAGTATCTTCATACGTGGCGCTATCTCAAATTTGGAAGGTCATGAGTTCAAATGCACATCAACATCCTTCCAGATGCAGATCCATCCCATGGCTCAATAAACAACTACTTTAAGGAAAAGTCAACAGTGAGCATGCTGTGGAAAGACTGGCCTCTGCCAAAAAACAACAAGGAAATTTAACATCACCACCACCACCAGCTATGTCTACCAATGGAGATGACTTCCACCCTAATGCTCAAGCAAGGGTGGAGGCCTGTGACATTCTTAATTTCAAGTGCAAATCTGTTCTAACAATTACGTCCCTTGGCTATACACAGATGTGTTTTTAATAGGAAGGGGCCAAAGTAATTTCATGCTCACACAAGCATATAGGGTGGTCCTCAAATCCAGTTTACAGCCTTGAGTCAATCATGACACGTACACATCCCTATGGCAGAATTGAGTTGATTCATAGGTCAACTACTGTTGCCTTTCCACACGCTGGGACAAACATTTATTGACCATGACCTGGGTAAACCCCCAGCGAGAATGTAAATTTGAGACCTGCCCATTGCAAGATATGTGCTCTAACCTCTACACCACCTTACCAGGTTTATATTCTATTGGTATTAAAAGTGTGTCCATGTCATATGATATTACTTTCTGGCTGGATTCCTGCCCGGCTTCCTGGCTACCATGTTACACAACAACAGCGGTGACGTCGGCACCGCACACGTCTGTGAAGATGACGTCACCATCATCCACACATCGTTGATCGCTGTTCGTGCATTGCGCCGACGTCATCACGTCTCCTCCCCCACCCACCCTGCACCCCGGCCGTGAATTCCACGCGATAGAGATAGAGACGGAGTGTAGAGAGTGACAGGGAGTGAAATGGAGAGGAAAAGGGAGAGCAAAACGGAAGTAGGGGAGCGAGGGACAGCAACAAGCAGTGCGAGGGAGCAATTAGGGAGAGGCAAGAGAGACTGAGCTGTGAAAGGGAGAGTTGAAAATAAGGAGAGCGAGGGTGAGAGAGGGATCCGGGGGAGGGAAGTGGGTGAGATGCAGAAAGACGAGAGGAATATCGGGGGAGGAGAGGAAGAGAGACACAGAGACGGACAAAGTGAGAGATCGAGATGACTTGGGATTTACGGCACAGAGAGAAAGGTAGAGAGAGACAGAGTTCTATATCAACGTAAACGTTCTGCTGGCTGGCTAGCAGGGACGGACAGACGGATGTCAAAAGGTTGCTAATTATTGTACAAAGTACTTTTTTCTTATAATACAATTTTTTTTTACCGCCAAATCTCCAGCCCAAGTGTTCCCTGTAATTGTGCAGTTAAAAAAAGAAAGTGCTCTAATTGAAGCCCCTTTTCAAAGTAGTGACACACACACACACGTCTAATATGCACCATCACAAACCTGCTTTCAGACTAACAGCAAAGACCGATGGAATTTGGAGTGAAGTGATCTTTTCATTGCAGAAGTTTTCACAGGAAATAGTGCATTTATACACTTTCATCTTTTAACAATGCTCTCACTCTCTTTTGTAAGATTTTAAAATTTGGCGATATTTTCTCTCTCACAACTTTGCCACGTAAATGGAAATAGATTTACAACAACAAAAAGAACAGCCAAACAATGTGCTGGGTACGTTGGGCAATGCATCGTTACGTGTACAAAAGACTTTGTGCACGTTCTATAAATGTGTAATAAACGACTCTGTCAGGCTCTCTTGGTCTCCGTTGTCGTTTATTTAGGTTATTCGTATCGCACCCCGCTGGTCCTCGGCCGGACCCGCGCCGCCTCTACTGCGCGCCCCGCGCACGCTCCGTGTGGCCCGCACTCGCTGGTGGCCGCTCCGCTCTCTCCATGTGCCCCGCACACACCGCCAGCCACACCGCTCGCTCCGTGTGCCCCGCACACTCCGCTAGTCACCCACTAGCCACGTGTGCCCCGCACACTCTGCTAGCCCCTCACACACCGCTAGCCCCGTCTACCCCACGCACACCGCTGGCCGACGGTGTGCGTCGGTCTTCGACCACGTGGCAGATGGCGCCGCTCCTCCCGCACTGCCCAGCGTGGCTTCCCCTGTTCTCGCTCCGTTCCAACTCCTCGATCTCTTCCGGCTCTCTCCCTATATCCTTCCCATCACGTGACCCTAACTCCTCCTTCCCGTACTGCCCCCGTCTCCGCCCCCGTTCACCTCGTCTCCCATTGGAGCCGAGGTGAGCAGTGGCTCCTCCCACACGCTCCGCCGACCAGGCTCCGCCGACCAATGCTCCGGGCGGTGTGATTGGCGCGGAAGCCAGCAACCACCCCATTTATGCTCGCATTACAAATGCAGCGGCTTCATTTATCATAACCAAATATGCACATTGTAATGCAAGAAGGCGTGTGTGCACATTTACACAGTCGTTCGTTGATATTTATATATCTAGCATGCATATTCATGTAAAAAAAAACATGGCGTTTGAGAGCAGTCAGACTTTTAAACACATCTACAATGTTATGCAAATAGGCTGTGTTTACCTTGATAGACAAAGTGGAATCCTTTGCCAGTTGAGTCTTTAGTGGATTTGAATTTTAATGAAATTTGATTTGTGGAACTCAAGGGCAGGGTTTCACCTGCGGTGAGAGACAAGGAAAACGCAAAAAACATTACATTAAAAATAGATTAAATTCACACGGGGTGTATGTAAAGTATTTAAACGTGCTTGCACTGGTCTCGATTCACATTCAAGATCGAGAGGTCATCTCGGCAAATGCGATTGACGCACCACTCCTTGTAATCACTTCCCTTGTTCTGTTGCATATCTACAATGTCCACGAATCCCGACCTACGAGGCCAGTATTTGGGGTTTGTGTAACATAGCCGTGGTGGGATCTTATGGCAGTATAGCGTGAGAAGCAACACGAAAGTTCAGAAAATAATGTCGCAGGTCAATCACCGCGGACATTCAGCAAAGGGAAGGATGCATACAATGAGTGGGGCACCATGTGCAGAATGGTGGACGGGTTGCTGAGGTCGGCATACCAATGGGAACCTATGGATTAGTAATGAAGGGAAAGACCTAGAGTGAGAGAAGACCTTTGAGGTCCGGTATCTACTTTGCAATAGTTACAGGTTGTCAAGACACCACACAGCCAGTTCTGTGAGAACGCATCTTTTCACAATGCGAATTGGACATAATGTGATGAATGTATTGGGGGATACACGTTTTATAACGTGGATGCAAATTGGATATAACACGAGTGAGTGAACGGAACGGCGTCGCGCGTAATATAAATAAGCGGTTGTGCGGCTGCCTCGGCGTAGCGTCACACGAGGCAGGATGCTGCTGGATGCTTCTAGATGCTACCCACGCACTTTGTCCAGCCTGTGTACGCATCTCATGCTTTGTCGCGGACCGTGCTTTATCCCGTATTATATATTATTTATATTATCACGCGATTTTTAGAGAAAGCAGGCGTTGTTCAAGAACGCAACTACCGCGTTATAGAACAGACTGCGCTACGCACAGATACAATTATACCTGCAGACATACAGACAGTCAGATGCCTGATCAATTATATGTATCCATCTTTGTGGATGTGTTGGTATCCGTTTATCTCTCTAAAGAAATGGCAACATTATCCAAACTAGATCAATAGTGTACAACGCAGGCTCATGTAGACGAAGAGACATAAGCCTTTAGACTAAAAAGCTGTAAAATTGATAGGCAGGCATCACGGGAAGACACACGCAATCACAGGTACGCAATCGACATTAATCTGCAGAGACAGATGAACAGACAGTGACAAAATGCAGAAACGCGTACGCAAAACAGTCGAATGTTCAGATCAACACGACTTAACCTGTAACCTTCGTTACGTAAAGTTGATGAAATTATATTGGGCAAAGTTGAAATTAAATCTATCTGATGCACGGCACTGCTCCTGTCAAGGCGACAAAATATGTCTGCGGCTGTCACTCACGGTCATTAATGGTCACTAATGGTCACTAACGGTCACTCACCATCATTAACGGTCACTCACCATCACTAATGGTCATTAATGGTCACTCACCATCACTAACGGTCACTAATGGTCACTAACGGTCACTCACCATCATTAACGGTCACTCACCATCACTAATGGTCATTAATGGTCACTCACCATCACTAACGGTCACTAATGGTCACTAAAGGTCACTAACGGTCACTCAGGGTCCCTAACGGTCACTCGCCATCACTCACGGTCACTAATGGTCACTAACGGTCACTCACCATCACTAACGGTCACTCACCATCACTCACGGTCATTAATGGTCACTCACCATCACTAACGGTCACTAACGGTCACTCAGGGTCACTAACGGTCACTCAGGGTCACTAACGATCACGTGCGCGCGGTGTGCGGCGTCTAGGATACCGGAGTGGGCGCCGGAGAACGAGCTGAGGAGCACGGCCTGCTGGCTCGACCCGTCGAACACCTCCACCACGTCGTTCAGGGCCGTTTGGAAAAACTTGAACTGACCGAAGACAACTGCAACAAAGGGGTGAATCAAAAAACGACGGAATCGTTAGCCGGAGTCGGACTGCGGGCTGTGACACTTTATACGGACTCATGAACGCGTGGCCATGAACTTGTAAATTGTTTGTATTCAGGCGTATGTACGCTGAACTTCTTTCTGCACCGTGCGTAGCAAGCCTCGTTTCATGTTGCGTGCGATTTATTTATTGGCATTTCCGGTTCACATTCCAATGTTAAACACGCGGCATCCCAGCAGCGTTAAGGTCGCCGTTCTTATTCGCGGGGCTCATTTGTTGGGAATGTTTTTTTTTTTACAGTGGGTTGGTGATTCTCGTCTTTAAAAAAGCAACACACGGTGGGGGGAGTTCAAATGAGTTATTCACGAATGGGCCCCCAAGTTATTTTTAAGTCTGCCTCCTTTCCTTGGCAATTATATTAAAAAAAAAAACGTTTTTTATTATTTTACCAGGCAAGGCTCACTGAGCTGTGTATCTATTTTTCATAAGTGACCTGGCCACAAATGATAGCTCAACGAAGCGGCTTATCACGTGGACATGTATAGCAGCCAGATAACTCTAAACGCACGTTGATTCTAAATGTGGAGGGAAAAACCGGAGGACCCGCAGAAAAATCCACGCGACCACGGGGAGAGAGAGACATGTAAACTCCAAACATACAGGCGCCAGGGTCGGGATCGAACCCACACTCTCATGCAGAACCGGCCCTAGACCTTTGGGGGCCCTAAGCAAAATTTGGTCGGAGGCCCCTTTGATGTATGATTTTTTTCACCCACAAGCTAGCAGTGACTCTAGGGGGGCCCTCTGCTGGCCACGGGGCCCTTTGCAATTGCAAGGGTCGCTTAGTGGCTGGGCCGGCTCTGCTCTCATGTATACCAGGTGAGATAGTTAACACGTCGTCCCCGCGGTGCCCTTAAGCATGTATCCCAGATGGTCCATAGAGGCCGCAGCTGACGTAGGGAAATTGTCCCATGTCACGAAGGATAGGGTGCCCTTTTCGTTAAGGAGACAAGCGAAAGTGTCTCTTACACTCAGACGTATGTTGGTGCCCTTCAAACAATTGTGGAAATGCAATATTCACATGGCGGGGGGGGGGGGGGCAGTCCTTCCATAGGTTGACCACCGTTGAGATGTCCCACAAAATGGTGCATATCCTAATGAATGGACGAGTCTACCCACAGCCTGGAATTGAACCCCGTAATCTGAGCACGCACAGCAGTAAAGTATTTGCCTGGCATAGGGGGTTTAATTCCAGTGCAATCTTCTAGAGATTTCTGGGCTTTAATGCAACTTTTAGCCACTGGTGAATACTGTGCGCTGTATTTTCATGGAAGCATTAAGCAATAGTAATGAGTTTTTGTGAGCGTGTATATGTATTTAAAATTATTTTCTGTCATATGCCGAGCATGGAAACAGGTGCCTGCAATTCCAGCGCACTGCTGGAAGGATTGAACAATCACGCAGAGATCAACAGATTTTCAACCTGCAGGGGTAATGAGTCGGTTAATACATGGAAGTACAGCAACTAGGCGACGGACCAGCCTGCACTCACATTTTGGCATTGTCTCCCATGTGTGCATGGCTAATCTTTGTGTATTACAGTTGCCGTGGATATTTAAGGAGCCGGCCAATACATTCCAATGTAGGACCCTTCCTGTAAACGATTCTTGAGATTTGGCAACGCTTTTCCGGAGAGATTAAGTTGTTTCTCACCTCGAAATTGCAGCGATGACCCCATAGATGAGGACATGCCACATTACTGTGGCAGGGGTCAGTCTCTCCATAGGGGAAATTATGGTTGTACTATTTTTATCAACCCTAGAGACACGATGAATATGATCACGGGCTGATAAGGATGATTAACTTGCAACAATGGCATCAGTGCCATCCAGAACAAGTTAATCCGTAAGCGAAAAACTACCCGTCAGTATTATCACAAAACATGCGGACGGCATTCATGGGCCATTTAAAACACACACAGTCACGGCAGTATGAGACGGTAGGCACGCCAAACAAGGCGCGCGGTGGACGCATTAATTGGGATGCGAGTGTCACCGTACCGTATTCCTTGGGAACGACGACGGTGTAGGCGCACGTCTGGCTGCTGGAGTAATTGGACGGGTATCCTGGGGAGAGCACCGCTCCCTCCTGGCCCACAGAACGGCCTCCGCACGGAGCTGCGTGGTGGCAACAGTGACGGCGTTAGCGGCGCAAGACAATCACTGCCGCCCCGGAGCTAAGCCGCAGTGGGCCTGGCAGTGCAGCAGCATATTCACGGGGTTCTATTTACAGAGTGGCTCTGGTAGCTTGGCTCCAGCTCTAGGCTGGCTCCCTGCTACAAGCGAAGGCCTGGCTCCACCAGGACCTCGCTCCAGCAGCCCCCTGGTTCCAACTCAAGAGCAACTTCACGTGACTGTTCCTGTTCCCAATACATTTACCTATTCCTGGCTCCAGAGTCACAAACACCGATCGTGAGTCATGTATTTTCCTGATGCTAACCAGATGAAGGTGTCATCACGGCCAAAGCCGTTGATGCCAACCACCACCTCCACGCTACCAACGCTATCTACCCTCGTCAAGATCCCACAGTTGCTGGACTGTAGACACAGCGATCTCCAAGTCCTGTCCCCACCATCTTCCCCTCGGTTGCCGGATTCGTGGAGACCACTCACTTGGCCCAACACCAGCAGTGCCATCAAGCTCCGTGTATGCGTGCATGTTTTTTTTTGTTACGCAGTGCAATCAGGTTAAAATGTGTGTTCTAATTTGCGGATGAGAGAACAACATCAGGTTTTGAAATTAAGAACAACAATTTGCTCGGGCCCATCGGTGGGTATGTCACCCGTGCTGAGCTTTGCCACACTAACAGACACAGATGTAGTGCAACACACTTAGGTGACAAAAGGACGTATTGATTTGTTGCTTGATGTCAATCCTTAAAGTTAAGATACGTGGATCAAACGCGGTGTGTTAAGAATGAGCAGTCTAATGATGCACAGTGTCCACAGGAAATGCGTTGAATCGCATTTTTAAGAAATATTTTCATTCAGTGTGCAACTGACATACTCCGTCGCTATTACACTAACGAGCAACCAACTATAAAAACAAACTAAATATAAAAAATACGTATAAAAGTGTACAAATATATGACATTAATAATTGTGCAACATAACTCTAGTTGGCTTCATGTTATTGGTAATCATCAGGAAGCCTTAGTTGGTTACACAATTGATCCTTATGGCAGTACCCCGAGTTACCAATTAATACAAAATGGCCGAGGCAATTAAATACTTTATTTCTGGGACACTTTTTCCCAGGGGTGTTACTTAACTCCGCCATTCGGGTACCAATCAATCCGAAATCAGTGCTACTCCGCGATGTCGAAACGCCAAACATTAGCATAAATAATCCGTTATCGAAAAATTCAACTTTGAATAGTGCATCGTGTACAGCTCGTCGAGATGAGTTGACTGCCGCATCGCCGAACATCAACGGACTAAAAATGACTGCATCACGGACATTATGCGAGAGCCGGGGTACCATGGTACCATAAGGTTCAATTGCCAAAGCATGTAATGGTTACATCTTAACAGGCAGATATCAATAATGAGATTCCTGGGGCCAATTTGAAAAAAAAAATTACTTAATTAATGAGGCAGATTTGTATGCTCATTATACGCACCCAATTTCCACAATACATTATTTATTACTGGCTCAAAAATGGTTAAGGAAAAATGCAGATTTCCTTTTAATTACCACTGACAATGGGAGTGTCATTCAAACAATTTGGGGATTAGACAAATTTTATATATATTTTGACCTCGACAGGTTTATACCGAATGGTTACCCTTACAGAAAACATGCCAAATGGTCTTTGTATATCAGAAGAGTTATAACATTGTGAGAACAATACTCTAGGAGGAGTATAGGTAATTAAGCTCCCAGCCATGTGGAGTGAAAGTCAGACATCATGCCGAACAAAGCACGGCACAATCCCGACACACATCGCAGATCAATAGAGCCGAACCGTAAAAAAACACCTATGCAATCGCCTCCCCTGCTCAATTAAGCATCAACGGTGGCACATTAACACCACCGCCGGCGAGGTGCCAGTCTCCGTAGGACTGCCACAACGTGGAGCCGCAGTCATCGTGACTGCAGAAAGAAGAGGGAAGAGAACCACCGCCGCCACCAGCAGCGAGATTTGAACTGGCGACATCGAGCGCTCCGTTAACAACGGCGTCCCACCAAGGCGTCATGTGAAATCCGTACGGCGCATCGCGCAACGTGCCAGCACGCAGCACCGCAAGGCCCGGAGGTGTTTTCTTTTTTTGTTTTACATCGGCAGTGTTCACGAAAAAAAAAGTACACTGTCGACTCCACTTAATCGCACACATTCCCTACTTAACATTGGTAAATGCTTAGTATTCTCGTGATCGTTGATGTATATTCTCCAGGAGAAGCTAATGTGCGTAGATTTGTTGGGTTGTCAAGGCTGGCTGTTATTATATGGGCAAGAATATATTGCTATGCGATGGGTTGAAGAGTGATCTGTTTTATGAATTGGCACAATTCAGAGCAATAATGTGATTCGTTTGTTCTTGTTCGCACTGCTAACTTGTTTGTCCTGGGTAGTCCGTAAATTGAATTTGCTCTTAATGAAAATGTCATGTTAACTTACAATTTGCATATATCATAAATAATAATGCATCATCCCTTCGTGCACTATTTGTGAACGTTAAAATTGTACTTTAATTAGCGCATTTAAACTTGACTACGATTCAGCTTTCACCGGAACTGGCCTTTGTTCAGAAGTTGTTAGTCCACAGCTGCTGATGGAAATGAACATGCACCGCCCACACTGCATTAGCACGCACAGACGATTGCGCTTATCACTGGGAACTCTGAGCCAGTAGTGAACATTCCACATTCCTATGGCAGGGGTCAGTCTTGAATAGCACTGATGCTATTGTAATATTGTATCAAGCACAGGCATTATTAATAAGTTAATGAGTTACGGTCTACTCCTCTGTAGTATGTACTCTCTTCCTGGTCTGTGACACGATGCGGATACATTGAGACTATCTTTTTAATAATACTGCAGGCAAAGCAAACAGAACATGAGAGGACATTCCATTGTTCAGCTTTGTTATTCATATAATAATAATACAATGGGTAATGTCTCAACACTGCAGTTTCTTACTCGCGGGCCTCCACTCTAGAAAGTGGAGGCCCTTCGAAGAGGTGGGAGGACCCACACCTTACCCGACCACACCTGGCCTGCCGATTGACTAGCTGTGGTTGAACCATATTCACACTACTGGGTGGACCGATTAATAACGATCGTCATTGTTTCAACCGCCGCGCCGGGAGATAGAACTGGTGACATATGGATTGTTCATCCAGTCTGTGAGCCATTCACCATGGCAGTATCCAATACACGTAATGATAATGATTAACTGTTATAAAGTACGTGCAGCATATTCTCAATCCACTGCTGGTTAAAGGCCTTCCCATGTCATTGGGTTTGTCTGACCATACTTCATCACGCTGGGCAGTGCAGGTTAGTGAAGGGGATGGTTCTGATATGACTCAGCACTGTTCTAAGCCTCGGCCAGGAATCAAACCTCAAGTCGCCAACATCTCTACATAAAGATATTGAAAATGTGTTGATGGTGTTCACTTAGTTTGCTGTAGTAGATTTTGGATTATTCGTTGAAAGTTTGCATCTGTTAGGTAATAGTACAAAGTCAATGTTATGTCTGACGTTAAATCAGCTTGATGTGTTGAAATTCATATACAGTAATAAGAAAAACAGTCCATCAATCAGATTTAATGGTTACCTCTAAAAGCCAGAGTAATCTTGCAAAGCAAAATAGAACACAATTTTGATTTATATACCATCTAATGCTATCTCAACATACCACACAGAACAGTGTAACATGGAAATCACGTGGGGAAGGGTGCTTATATCTGTATTCATTGTCATCGGAAGAGGCAAACAGGAAGGACTTGAGCCTGGACTAGAATATATATGTAAGTATGTTGAAGTTCTTTCACACCGTACGTAGCCAGCCGTGCTAATCGTAGGAGCGGGGGAAGGACAACAAACTGAACACAAAAAACAGTTCGAAAGAACAAAAAAGAGTTTTAAAGAACATCAGGGGAGCCTCGTCTCAAACGGTGTTAGACCAGAGGATGCCAAAAGGCGCCTTTTGGCGTCCTCTGGTCTAACACTGTTTGAGACGAGGCTCAAAAGAAATATGTCTCTGGTGTGGACCAATCAGTTTCAAGGGCAATGCATATATTACCAGAGTATGTTTTTTGTTTGCATTCTGACCACAAGCATTGTGGTTAATGCAGACATGATTCCTTGTAAAAGGTTTCAATTTGGTGTTTTAACATCTTAACACCTGTTTTTGTTGCCAGAAAAAAGGGGAAAAACCTATTATCAGTTCTGAAGATATTAAAATGGGCCAACAGGTCAAGAGCGTGGACGGCTGGGGGGGGGGGGAACAGTTGCAAGCAATGGGGGCAGCGAAGGAGAATGAGCGACGCCGTCTATAACCAACCAACAGCAGGTGTACGTACCTCTGCAGAGGGGCACAGGCTTGTTCCACGTGGGCCTTCCATCGTCACCCATAATACAAGTCAACGTTGAATGTCCATGCACCATGTATCCAGTGTCACAGCCATAGGTGACGGTGGAGCCCAACTTGAAGTCGCCGCCCAGGCGACTGCCATTCTTAACGTTGCCAGGGTCGAAGCAGGATTCCCGTGGCTTTTCTGTCACGGAAGGTGGCGACAAAAGTTAGGTTTATTGTCACAGCTCGTGAATTTGTGAACAGAGCAAGAAAAAGGAGAGAGGGAATTGACAGGACGCGTTTATTCCTCTCGAGTCAATATAAAACTATCTCCCTGCTCCAAGAAGCGCCAGGGGGTGATGCTTATTTTCTCCGGCAGTCCTCAGTCAATCATGGAAATTCCACATTCTTATGGTGGTTGCTAGTATGCCTATTGCATTACCATACCGACTTTCGACAAAGTGGAACTCGTTGAATTAGTCTTGCAGTGATGATCTCCCTACCTTCAAATCGTGATGCAAGTACTCCACTACCAGCATTGCACTGCCGGCAGTTGGACGTTCAATTATTACTTAGATCATTATTCGATTTTTGGTGGCTTAATAGTGGTTGGACGTTATAGAAAAATATATATTTAAAGGGCCAGTCATTTATCCTGCAAAGCTCCTGAGCTTTAGTTGTCATTATCATAGATCACTAAAGGGATATTGCACTACATTATTAAACATTGTGCATGCCAAGCTTAAAATTTGGGTGCCGCGGTGGCAAGATATTCATTACCTGGCCTGGTATACAGGAGGTTGTGGGTTCGATCCCGACCCTGACGCCTGTTTATTTGGAGTTTGCATGTTCTCCCCATAGTGCTGTGGATTTTTTCTGGGTCCTCTGGTTTTTTCCCTCCACATTTAGAGTATGTGGCTACTATACATTTCCACATGACAAGCCACTTCATTGGGCTATCATTTGTGATAGCCAGACCGCTTCTGAAAAACAGCTATATAGCTCAGTGGACCCTACCTGGTTAAATAAATAATAGTTTATAATTTGAAGGTCAAGTTCTAACGACACGAAAGTAAAAGTTTCCCTAATGCAGGTTTTTTTGGGTTAGATCACATAAATATATAAATGTGTCGTTAAAGCCACAAACCACCCGACACAGCTAATTAGTAAGGTTTGTCACGTAAACAGAACATGTCAATTCGTTACGAGTGTAGTGGCATAGCGCTGGCTGCTGGCAGAAAGGGAGATCTGTGCCGTACGGCAGTCCTGAGTTCAGCAGGCCAGGATATACACGAGAGGGGGATCGAGGGGAAAGGTCACAGAAGGAGCACACCAGGAACCCGCTGGTAGGTTCTAGAAAGGGGGTGTTGCTAGGGGCGAAGCCAGGCCACGTGACAATTTAAGAGGGACCCCTGTAGGGGACCTCGGGGCAGTTGTTGGAGTGGGATTCCTGTCGTGCTGCTGAAGTCCATCGTCGCCATTCTTCTCGTCGTCTTCACCATTCTTCTCGTCGTAGTCTCCATCTCTACCATCTCGGGGTGCCACCAGTCAGGCAACCTACCAACTGTCCTAAGTAGCGTCACCGACAATAGACCGACTACTTATTAAGAGTGTTAACCCCGATGGTGCTTGTTAATAAAGAAGTGCCTCCAAGTCTTATCATATCCGAGTTAGTCACTACACTAGTAGAGCACACCAGTGTGTTGGAGAGCAAAGCCACAACATTTACAATCTGAGTACGACGTTTTGCCAGTAATTAGATATAGCTTCATCAGGCGACAGCCAGATTTGTGGAGGACTCCTCCTATTTCGTTCCTTAAATAGAGGGGTAGTTTACCTGTTCAAATGTGCATCGGGGCAGTGCTCATCGCCACTGGTGTCCATATTGCCAAGGTGAGGATGACCACTCTGGACTTCTCCCACGGTTGTTTTCTGTTTGTATCTATTCCCCCAAGGTTATATCGACGGTGCTGTCGGGGTCATATTATGAAACAAAATAGCCATTCAGATCTCTCATAGAGCCGTGCAACCCTTTGTGTACGAGCGAAAGGGCCCCGTGGAAACAGATATCACAGAGCTACTTCCGAGATCCATTTAGGTGACCCACCTCTGGTTCAGACAGTAGGGCGGCAGCACTTTCCCAGCCACTCTGCTACAGAGATTCGTTTTCTTCGCATGGCAGTCAAAGCAAGATTATTTTTAAATTGTCACAACTGGAAATTAGCTAAATTACGTGCAGAACTAAAGTATAAGGCTATGCATTTTTTAGCGTGTTCGTGATTGTGCAGTTGTCATTATGGGTCACCTCGGAATTCGATGTGGAAGCCTCCCAGGCTGACGGTGCTGTCACTGGCGAAGGACAGGAACAAGCTGTTGCCACTGCTCTCCACGCGGCTGGGCAGCTGCGGGCCATGGTAAGAGCCAATCAGAGCGGCACTGCCATCCAGCCCGTCGTGCACGCTCAGGAAATCATAGTTGGCCTCAAGGCTAAAGCTGTGAAGAACGATAGAACGCGTTAAAGCTTACGCAGTACGCACACGCGCAGACAGTAGAACATATAAATGTGCAGCACTGAATTTGTTCCTGCTCTCTCCGCTACTGGCTGAAGGAGCTCCACGAGAGGGAGGGTACACAGCAGAGAATACCTCTAGAGAGTATTTTGGCCAACTTTTGGAGGGAGTGTGAGTTCCCACAGCCTGGTCCACCGTTCGCGACCACGCGATCGACTCACGCACACTGCTGGGTGGACAGAGACCGTGGGAGGTGGGGGGGAGAGAGTAAAAACAAAAACTTGCCCCAATATTTCAACTGCCCCGCCGGGAGAACAAATCGGTAATGTCTGGATTCCAAGTCGCATTTGCTCACCACTACCACCATGGCAGGATCCCACAGTGCGCGCACACACACACGTGAATGCTATTCTTTCCCGATTAGCCAAGTAGCCACTGAGACAAAACGATGTTTCTAGGGAAGCCTGGGGCACTGTGTGATACACAACAATGCACACTATGGTATATATATATGGTACGATGAGGGAAATCCCGACAGATCTTCGCGTAATATTTATATTTGTGCAATAAGAGGCCATGGGGTCGGTAATGCTTCAAATTAGTTCTGTCTCCCTCTTTGAATAAAATAATGATTCAGGGCAAAATTCAACAAGTTAAATATTTCACTTCTGAGGAAATATTTAGGCGGCAGATGTTAAAACAGAAATGCAACTTGCTTCACAAATAAACACCAAACAGTATCGAGATTTTCTCACAGTGCCATCATGCTGGCGTTGATTAACTCTAACGAGGTGTTTTCATTATTTCGATTAAAAGTCAAGAGCCAAACCTAGCATGAGGGTGAAGCCTTTGTATCATTCGATATCTTGATACTGGCGAACTGCTCAACCCGAGCTGATAACGCTTCGGTGTTTGCATTGTCCTTGTACTGCTCATCATTTGGCAGCCTTAGGTCTCGCACTGGTCAGAAGCAATGCTATAAAAGAGGCTGTCTCTGGTGCAGGCGAATCAGTCTCAAGGACAGTGCATAACTTGTCAAATATTTTTTTTGCGCGAACAAGTACGTGTGATTAAGCAGACATTGATGCCTTGTAATTGATGTCTGTATGGTGTCTGAACATCTTAACACCTTTATTTACATTCGACGGGTACCGCAAGATGCGACCATGTCCGTCCAGTGGTCGCTGAGCTGTATTGGCTTCCCGTTGCCGAACGAATACATTCTGAGGTCGCACTTATTACACACACAGAGTGCTTGTTACAAATGATTTACGACACCTTGCTGATTTCGTCAAGGAGCATAAACCATCACGTGAACTCCGGTCATCCTCGCAGCGGCTTTTGGCTGGCCATCGAACAAAGACGGTCACCGCATCGTGCGCTTTCAGATGCACTTCTGCGGCCGTCTGGAATGCCCTTCCTTCCGGTAGTAGGAAAATAACTGGAGCTGTGCACTTTTACGTCTAGATTTTTGTTGCGTTTATTTTGTAGTCCTTCCCCTGCACCTCCGATTTAGCACGGTACGTTGCGAAGAAAGTTCACCATACATACAACTAGCAAATTCATCCAGATTCATTAATAAACACGCATATCATGTGAAAAAAATCCACCATGATCTTCTTTACCACACATTACCATGGAAACCGTTAACTCCATGCAGCCTCATTTAGCCAATAACCACTTTTTCTCCTGCAATATGGAAAAAAAGCTATATATAATACAAATGTATATTTTTGAGGAAGAAAAGGGAAAATCGACTTCATTTCCCCGGTGTAAAAAGCCCCTTGTCAAATGCGGGAACAGAGATCGAAGAAAAAAATTAAGCGACAAAAGCGTAACTCCGGGCCTCATCCTAACGACCTATGATGTGCTGATTTTTATATATATAAAAAATGAACTCGACGCCTGCTTCACACAACTGGCCTCAATTATTTTGCTGAAATATGCTGCATAATTTGCATGCGGGTTGGACGGGCTACTCATGAATGTAAAATATTGGCAAGCATTGAAATATGTCGCACGGTTCATATGGAATGTAATTGCCTCGCATAACAAGAATGATATATTGACTCCCGAGTGATTGCCCGAGTGTGCATGCTTGTATTTGTAAACCGTACAAACATCACGACTGCATAAAGAAATATAAAATAAAGACCATGTTTATTCCTAAGCAGTCAAAACTAAAATTGTGCACTTTTTTGTAATGACCTTAATTGATATTCAATGTAAATGTTCTACTTCCATAATTGGCTTCTTTGAATTACAATATAGATTGTGTGCAGAAAATCCTCCTTCAGGGTTATTTTAATGGGGTTGCATTGCTACACTTACAGAAATTAAACAATTATATGATATGCTAAATGAGGCAATTGAAATGTGGTACTGTATTAAGCATGTGGCTTCCGAATAAATTAGCACATATGAATAAACAGTATCTGGTGGGCAGATGATATCTTTCTATAAACACATGATGATAGATCCTTCATTAACCTCATATCCTCTTTAAGTAAGCACTTTTCGTGCCATCTGTTATGTGAAGTGATGACATCTACAAGGCACGAGTGTAGTCTACATTACCACCAGCCACCTTTGTCTCCCCAGTGCTGAAGTATCCCACCACATCAGCTTCTCAATACGGAGCGAGTCAAGTTGGAGGAAGAATTCATATAGGTTCTGATATCACTCTGGGCCATTATTCAATTAGTGGCATTAGCTGTGGTGAAACAAGTGTGGTTTGTACAAAATCACTGGCACAGAAAGAGCAGATTTTGGAATGGGGCCATTTTCTTGCATGAAAATCGCCCCATTCAGCCAAAAAGGTGGGGAAATTATGGGCAAAGTGGCCAAATGTTTGCGACTATTTTCGTATCCGTTGACAGCCCTGAACTAGTGTTGACATCAGTTGATAGCCAGTCTCTTCATCAGAACAGCCACTGTTGACTTCCCACAAAGTGATGACGGCCTGAGTTGAGACCCGAGCCAGATTTAAACTCGCAACCTTTTAAACTGCAAGTTGAGTGATCCAACTGCAGTGCAACCTGACTGCGGATCACATGCGCGGAGGGAATTATTGAAAAGACATAAGACAAGTGAAATTGAAGATGTAGGGATTATGGTGACGATGAAGATGAATGATAGTTTTAATGACAACACCACAGTTACCAGGTTCCACCCAGCCACCAGGTTAAACTGAACTCAGCCACATCATCATCATCATAACCACCGCTGTTTGATATTGAAATCATCTCAAAAGGGTTTTACGTGTTGAAATGGGATGTCAGCTCAGTAATTACGTGAAAAGCGCACGTACCAACCGTCAACGTTGTAACACCAATGCTTTTATATACGAAAGACGGGACACTCGCTTCCTCTACGGCGCCACGGTGGTGAGATGTGAACTACCTCGCCTGGTATGGAGGAGGTTGTGGGTTCGATTCTGACCCTGACGCCTATATATTTGAAGTTTGCATGTTCTCCTTGTGGTTGCATGGATTTTTCTTTGGGTCCTCCGGTTTTTCCCTGCATGTTTAGAAACATGCGTTTAAAGTATTTGGCTGCTGTACATTTCCACATGATAAGTTACTTTGTTGATCTATCATTTGTGGCCAGGTCGCTTCTGAAAAGAGCTACATAACTGAGTGGGCCTTAGCTGGTAAAATAAAATAAAACGTTTCTAGTTTACTATGAATCTAAATCCCTAATGTGACATCTAACAACATCTAATCACAAAGCTTGCCGGTGAATGAGCATCGACGGGAGGACCTCTACAGTTGACGTACACCAGCCACGACAACACACCTCTTGTGGATACGCGTCAAATGGCAAAGTGCCCACAAGGAACACACAGCGGAAAATTTTCGCAGAGAACACATTCGCGTCAAGTTATTTTACCGCAATAGGAACAAAAAAAACTACTTCAAGCTAACCGATATCCTGCAGACGTGATGAGAAATTTGACACCGGCTGAAAACGGTGGTCTGAGTCTGTGCATCTCTTTGATAAAATAAGCACTGCTCCAGCAACTAATCTCTGCTAATAGCACCCTGAACCTAAGATGGAAATGCAAACATACTCTTGGTGGGGCTCAGTCTGTCCATACACAGAACGACCAATGCTTAAAGCGATATTTCAACAGACTGCAAAATGTACATTTCATTATAAGTATTCATCCATGCAACTATTTACGATGTTTCTGAAGCTTGTTTAACATAGGTCTTCAAATCGTGGCTTACTATAGATCATGGCCCACTCTTAAATCTCCTTTGACCATGGCAGACAGACTTCTATTTGCTACCATTCCCACCTTTGTTTTCCCCAATTGTTGAAAAGCAATCTGTGATAAATAATCTCTGGATCATCATCATCAATATCTCCCTTTCCAGATGTAACTGATGATCCAAGTTCCTGATTGCAGGGAGATCTTTTCATCCAAACATACAGGCAGTAAACTAATTGTCCAACCAAACAAGAACACGGTGGTATACATTTACAGCGAGGGAAAAAAGTATTGGATCCCCTACTGATTTTGTACGTTTGCCCACTGACAAAGAAATGATCAGTCTATAATATTAATGGTAGGTTTATTTGAACAGTGAGAGACAGAATAACAACAACAAAATCCAGAAAAACGCATGTCAAAAATGTTATAAATTGATTTGCATTTTAATGAGGGAAATAAAAATTTGACCCCTCTGCAAAACATGACTTAGTACTTGGTGGCAAAACCCTTGTTGGCAATCACAGAGGTCAGACGTTTCTTGTAGTTGGCCACCAGGTTTGCACACATCTCAGGAGGGATTTGTTGAACTCTTCTTTGCAGATCTTCTGCAAGTCATAAAGGTTTCGAGGCTGACGTTTGGCAACTCGAACCTTCAGCTCCCTCCACAGATTTTCTATGAGATTAAGGTCTGGAGACTGGCTAGGCCACTCCAGGACCTTAATGTGCTTCTTTGCGAGCCACTCCTTTGTTGCCTTAGTCGTGTGTTTTGGGTCATTGCCATGCTGGAATACCCATCCACGACCCCTTTTAAATGCCCGGGCTGAGGGAAGGAGGTTCTCACCCAAGATTTGACGGTACATGGCCCCGTCCATCGTCCCTTTGATGCGGTGAAGTTGTCCTGTCCCCTTAGCAGAAAAACACCCCCAAAGCATAATGTTTCCACCTCAATGTTTGACAGTGGGGATGGTGTTCTTGGGGTCATAGGCAGCATTCCTCCTCCTTCAAACATGGCGAGTTGAGTTGATGCCAAAGAGCTCCATTTTGATCTCATCTGACCACAACACTTTCACCCAGTTGTCCTCTGAATCATTCAGATGTTCATTGGCAAACTTCAGACGGGCATGTATATGTGCTTTCTTGAGCAGGGGGACCTTGCGGGCGCTGCAGGATTTCAGTCCTTCACGGCGTAGTGTGTTACCAACTGTTTTCTTGGTGACTATGGTCCCAGCTGCCTTGAGATCATTGACAAGATCCTCCTCTAGTTCTGGGCTGATTCCTCACCGTTCTCATGATCATTGCAACTCCACGAGGTGAGATCTTGCATGGAGCCCCAGGCCGAGGGAGATTGACAGTTCTTTTGTGTTTCTTCCATTTGCGAATAATCGCACCAACTGTTGTCACCTTCTCACCACGCTGCTTGGCGATGGTCTTGTAGCCCATTCCAGCCTTGTGTAGGTCTACAATCTTGTCCCTGACATCCTTGGAGAGCTCTTTGGTCTTGGCCATGGTGGAGAGTTTGGAATCTGATTGATTTCTTCTGTGAACAGGTGTCTTTTATACAGGTAACAAGCTGAGATTAGGAGCACTCCCTTTAAAAGTGTGGTCCTAATCTCAGCTCGTTACCTGTATAAAAGATACCTGGGAGCCAGAAATCTTTCTGATTGAGAGGGGGTCAAATACTTATTTCCCTCATTAAAATGCAAATAAATTTATATCATTTTTGACATGCGTTTTTCTGGATTTTGTTGTTGTTATTCTGTCTCTCACTGTTCAAATAAACCTACCATTAAAATTATAGACTGATCATTTCTTTGTCAGTGGGCAAACGTACAAAATCAGCAGGGGATCAAATACTTTTTTTCCCTCACTGTATGCTGGATTCCCTCAATTAGCAATCTTTATAATCCTGTATCTCTAGAAAGCAACCAGTTATTTGGTGGTGCTGCTTCTAAATTGGCAGTGGTGCACAAACACAAGTAACAACAACTCAATGCAGTCGTCAATAACACTGTGGCCTTGAAAAGAAAAAAAAAACACAACATATATCAACATATATATTTTTTAAAATACAATCGGTGACGTTTTGGGCAATGTTCCCATTATGTTTTTCCACAACGTCGACCCCCACCTAGGATTTCAGCACACGGACCTCTTACAAGTCAAGCACTCTGACATAGTACTGCTCGGTCATAGAAAACGCACACACAGAGCTAGGAGCAGGATAAAAAATGTGATGTCTTTAGAACTGCTTTTGTGTTTAGTTTGGTGTCCTTCCCCCGCAAACTCCAATTAGCGTGGTTGGCTACGTGCGGTGCGGAAGAAGTTCAACATACTTGCACTGCACTATGTTACATTAACGTCCCTCCGTATTGCCCCCAACTAGTGCAAATTATCAGGTGTTTCCTTGTTTTATAATTATTTTTGTATTAATTCAACATACATACAGACCCGATGTTGCCATTCGGCAATGGTGAGCACACTGGACTTGCAACCCAGATATCGCCGGTTTTTTATGGAGATATCCTGGGCATGGCAGTTAAAACATTGAGCAAGTTTCCTACATCCCCCCACCTCTGTCCACCCATAAAAAAAACAAATGGTTGAACCATAGTCGGTTTATGGGCAGATCGCATGCGGTGGGTTAAAGTGTGGGTAACGCCCGCCTCATCCAAGATGTCGGCGTGGAAGCGTAGGCCAAACGTCCTCTCGATTGGCTTTCCGGAGCTCTCTCTCTAACAGAGGCTCTTCTGCTGCCCGCAGTCGCTTGAGCAAGCAATTGCAGGACTGGATATTTCATTTTACCTTTTGTAAAATGAAATTGTAAGTGCGAGGCAATTTTGGTTCCTACTCAAAGCGGCAGTGAGGCAGGCTTGAACCAGTGGCAAAAAAAAGCAACTCTACAATCCATTTCCAAAGCAGAGGTGTCAATTTAAATGTCTCATTTAGGGGGCCCACTTGACATTTACGAACCTCAGATGGTGAATTTAATTAAAAAGTGTCACAAAAGAATTGCACGATCAGACACTTACCTTAGAAAATTCAACGCCACCACGTAATCGGAATTCACCACCACTAGCCAGTCACAATCCTTGCCTGGCGGGTACGGTTGTGGGTAATTGGGTGAGAGTATAAATCCAGCTGGCCCTGTTAAATTTCCTCCACATGGGGCTGTGAAAAAATCATTTAAAATAACATAACATGGTTAATTAATCAATGGAGCTAAGCTTGCGCTTCAAGACGGCCTATCAGGTTTTATTCATGATTAGCCAGCAGTGCTCACCTATAGCAACACTAAACAGAGAAGACGCACGTATGACTTCCTGGGCTGTATCAGACACATATGGCATTCACTACAACCTTGCCCGCAACGTTTAATTATCGATAGTCGGGGGAACTCGCTTGGAAGGAAGTTGGAGGGAAGTAAAACGATAAAGAAGAATTTTATTTGGAATATACAAATTTTAATTCGCATTCACAATAGTGCAATGAATCTCGTACAAAAGGCAAATGAATTGGCATGTCTTGACAACTGCCTGGCATCTCATAATTGCGCGTGCTTAGTGCAGTGGAGGGTGTGGGGAGCGGTAGCAAAGAGATTAGCGTACTGCGCTACGAAGCTGGCGACTAGAGTTGGATTACCGCATTGTCAGCTTGTGTGAAAATATGCGTGCGTACGTGTATGTGTTTACGCATTTTCGTGCACGTGTATGAATATGTAGAATACAACGTGGATTCATAAAACATTGAAATGGAGCCACATCTAAAGATGCCGGTAGAGACTAGGACGCCATGTGCACTGAGATAACTTTGGAAAGAGGAACAATATTTTTATTTTTTATAGTTTAGCAAATGTTCCATCTTAATATTTAGTATCGTTTGCACAGATTATCGTAAATACAGCATTTCCATATCATTTGCATCACGTATAACTAATCCAGTCTCAGACGTACAATTTGGTGCACGTGTTTGCGAGTGTTTCTATGCACGTTCATTGGCAATGTGTGCATGTGCACGTTAGTTACGGCTGCCGCCCAAACAGAATGAGTGTGGATGCTTCCTATTGAATAAATATGTCTCCTCACCACTGTGTTCACTCTTTAAATCGCTTGCGCAATTTGACGCTGTTGCCCCAAAGAAATATTTATTTTTCTCCAAAATATTCGACTTGAAAGTGGCGGGGCTACGTCATCGGCGAAGGGAGAGGAGCTCAACGACTTCGATCGTTGTGCTGTACTCCTATGCTCCCCGCCCTTTACCAAGACGCGATAAATGGCGTGATAGACGAAGACTTAGTCAGATGAAAGAAGACATGAAGACGAAAGATATAGAAGCAGTGAGATCAGTGAAATGGAGACAAACATAGAGATGTTAGTGAGGTGAGAGAATAGAGATACTGACACAATGGAGATGAGGTTAATTGCCATTTTATGTTCGTAGCATTTATTAGGATTTGAATTTGTGCTGCTTGTGGCGCTATGCGGTATGTGACAGCAGGTTAGGGGTGAAGTGTCCCTCTTTTCAAACAACGTGAGCGTACTCATTGTCCGTGATGGTCCTGGACCAGTGATAAAAACTTAACATTCATATGGCAGGGCCAGTCTTACCAAAGAATGACCACTATTTACATTGACTTCCCACGTTGTGTTTATTGGGGATTGAATTAGAGCTGATGTTTGATGCACCAATATATTTCACGAATCAACTTCATCAGTGAACTTGAGCCCCTTGAGACACCCAAGATTTCGCTAGGTTTTGTTTACGCCTAACGCCGCTACTATTCACGCGCCTAGCGCTACCACTATTCACATGCCTAGTGTCACCGCTTTGTTTACATCCGGAGGCGTTGGCGACCGTGCAACAGCGGCGGCGCTCACCGAGGCATGACGGGGGACTCGGCGTCCAGAAGAAGCGGCTGCCATCCTGCACGCACGCGATGCGCGCCGCGCCCTGCAGCTCGTAGCCCGGCTGGCACTGGTAGCTCACCGTGTCGCCGGGCCGCCGGCCCAGTGCCCCGCTACGCGTGCCGTTCATGGGCACGCCGGGGTCGCGGCACTCGGACGCCATCGTGGCTGCGAGCGGGCACGCACGGTGAAGGCGGAGAAGGGAGGGAGGGAAGTGGTTAGCCTTCAAGGATTGCTATTTCGCGTCAAGAGGCATAAACCATTACGTGAACTCTGGTCCTTCTCGCAAGCGGCTACTGGCTCGTTATCGAACAAAGACGGTCACTGCATTGCGCGCTTTAGAATGCGCTTCTGCGGCCGTCTGGAATGCTCTCCCTTATGATATTAGGAAGCCACTGGAGCCATCTATATATATAAAATCGTTCATGTCTGTCTGTCTGTGTGTGTGTGTGTGGACTTTGGCCCATACGCACTTTCATTGGACGGCGGTTGCCCCTGGCAACGGCTAGCCACGCCTTCGCCGCTTTCATTGGACCTGGCAACGGCTAGCCACGCCTTCGCCAAGGGCTGCAGTTTCATTGGACGGCGGTTGCCCCTGCCAACGGCTAGCCACGCCTTCGCCACTTTCATAAGCTCCGTATTTAATTAAATAATAGCCATTACACAGTATTGTTGGAGCGCTAGGGGGGGGGAAGGAACGCCACCCGTACCCTGCCTCTTCCAAGCCGACAATTTTAGGCGAGGCCGCAGGCTTTGCACGCTACTATGCCTCGACACCCACCACGCCACTCTGAGGTAAATTCATCAAAGTTTTTCCTACTCTTCACTACACCCCCACCACAATGTGTGCTATTAATATTACTTTTAAACCCAACGCGCCAACAATCGATTACTTTAATGTTCACTGTACAAATACTCATTAAGCTGGGTGAGCGTACTGCCAGTCTATCATGTACACTCTAGCCTGCTTATGAAGCTGAGTGCGTGTACTGGCAGTCTATAATGTGGACTCTTGCCTGGTTATTATAATCGATTCTTTATATGTTCTTTGTACAAACAGTCATTAAGCTGCTTGAGCGACCCCAGTTCGATTCCAACTCACGCCCACCACCGCTGACGATTATTTGAAACGGACCTGGCCCTCCCCTAGGTCCACTCAGCCTCAAAAGCGTAACTGCTGTCGTGTGTGAACATCGTCACTGGGGAGACATAGGTGGCGGGGCATCGTGGATCCAAGTCCCGGGCGAAGCCGGGTCATGTGTATGTGTGTTTGTGTTTATGTGTATGTCTGTGTGTCTCTATGTATGTGTGTATGTATGTGTATGTATGTGTTTGTGTGTATGTGTGTCTGTATGTATGTGGGTTTTTTTTTATGTCTTTATGTGTATGTCTGCGTGTCTCTATGTATGTGTGTATGTACGTGTGTGCATGTGTTTGTGTGTATGTATGTGTGTGTCTATGTATGTGTGTGTCTATGTATGTGTGTGTATGTGTGTGTATGTATGTGTGTTATGTGTCTGTCTGTGTCTGCATGTATGTGTGTGTGTATTCTGTATGTGTTTGTGTGCATGTATGTGTGTGTTTGTGTGTATGTGTATGTCTGTGTGTATGTGTTTGTGTGTATGTGTGTGTATGTATGTGTGTGTATGTGTTTGTATGTGTTTGTGTGTTTACGCTCGCATTACACAAATGTGTTGCTGGTCTAAGGCGTTCCTCGCACAGCATTGCCGCTTTATTATTTCAGTCGTTTACTGCCTTACGCACCCTGAAAGTCGTGTGTGTCTGCAGCAAGCGCGTGTATGTGTACCTATGGACCCGCGCGCGTGTGTTGTGTAGGGGGAACGGTAGTGTAGTGCTTAGCGTGCTGTCTGTGTCTGTGTGTGTGTGTGTCTGTCTGTGTCTGTCTGTGTGTGTCTGCGTGTGTCTGTGTGTGTGTCTGTGTGTGTGCGTGTGTGGTGTGTGGGGAGCGGTAGTGTAGTGCTTAGCGTGCTGTCTGTGTGTCTGTGTGTGTGTGTGTCTGTCTGTGTCTGTCTGTGTGTGTCTGCGTGTGTCTGTGTGTGTGTCTGTGCGTGTGTGGTGTGTGAGGAGCGGTGGGTGTAGTGCTTAACGCTACGTTGCGCTACCAACCCGGCGAACCCAGTTCCATTCCCGCTCACGGCCACCACCGGTGACGATTATTTGAACCTCCCCTAGGTCCACTCAGCCTCAAACGAGTAACTGGTGTGGCGTATTAACATCGGCACTTGGGAGACAAAGGCGGCTGGGCGTGGTAGATCCAAGTCCCGGGCGAAGCCGGGTCATGTGTATGTGTTTATGTGTATGTCTGTGTGTCTGTATGCATGTGTGTATGTATGTGTGTGTATGTGTTTGTGTGTATGTCTGTGTGTGTATGTATGTCGGTTTTGCCGCCGTGGTGGATCCAAGTCCCGGGCGAAGCCGGGTCATGTGTATGTGTTTATGTGTATGTCTGTGTGTCTGTATGCATGTGTGTATGTATGTGTGTGTATGTGTTTGTGTGTATGTCTGTGTGTGTATGTATGTCGGTTTTGCCACCGTGGTGGATCCAAGTCCCGGGCGAAGCCGGGTCATGTGTATGTGTGTATGTGTTTATGTGTATGTCTGTGTGTCTGTATGCATGTGTGTATGTATGTGTGTGCATGTGTTTGTGTGTATGTATGTGTGTGTGTATGTATGTGGGTTTTTTTGTATGTGTTTATGTGTATGTCTGCGTGCCTGTATGTATGTGTGTATGTACGTCTGTGGATGTGTTTGTGTGTATGTATGTGTGTGTCTATGTATGTGTGTGTATGTGTTTCTGTGTTTGTATGTGTGTGTATGTATGTGTGTTATGTGTCTGTCTGTGTGTCTGCATGTATGTGTGTGTGTATTGTGTATGTGTTTGTGTGTGTTTGTGTGTTTACGCTCGCATTACACAAATGTATAATGCGGGTCTAAGGCGTTCCTTACACAGCATTGCCGCTTTATTATTTCAGTCGTTTACTGCCGTATGCACCCTGAAAGTCGTGTGTGTCTGCAGCAATGGACGCGCGCGCGTGTGTTGTGTAGGGGGAACGGTAGTGTAGTGCTTAGCGTGCTGCCTGTGTCTGTGTGTGTGTGTCTGTGTGTGTGTGTCTGTGTGTGTGTCTGTGTGTGTGTCTGTGTGTGTGCGTGTGTGGTGTGTGGGGAGCGGTAGTGTAGTGGTTAGCGTGCTGTCTGTGTGTGTGTTTCTGTCTGTGTGTGTCTGCGTGTGTCTGTGTGTGTGTCTGTGCGTGTGTGGTGTGTGAGGAGCGGTGGGTGTAGTGCTTAACGCTACGCTGCGCTACCAACCCGGCAAACCCAGTTCGATTCCAGCTCACGGCCACCACCGGTGACGATTATTTGAACCTCCCCTAGGTCGACTCTGCCTCAAACGAGTAACTTAACTACTGTAGCGTATTAACATCGCCACTGGGGAGACAAAGGCGGCCGGCCGTGGTAGATACAAGTCCCGGGCGAAGCCGGGTAGTACAGCTAGTGCACTTTTATGGAAACAACGCTCGATTTGAAGTCAAGAGAAAACAACTAAAACTGATCAAGATCTGAATGCCATTTAACCATTGCATAAAGGCAATAGTTAAAATGAGCACGTGTTTGCAGTCTTGTACAGGATGTGAAATGCTGGTATTCAGGTTAAAGACGCCCTCATGGGGAAACAGAATCAATCACAGTTAGAGTTATGACCTCAGCAGCCGCAGGACAGAATGCGCTTTTCAATGTCTCAACAGACTGCATTCAAGGTTGCAATTCTTTATTAAACCTGTTTCTTCACCTGTTCTGCACCGGTAAATAGGACACACATTCAACTGCTCTGTGCAAGTAATGGGATGTTGCGGGATTACACATAATAAGACACGTGGGGCTATTTTATACATAGGCTTTCAGGACCAATGTTACGATTCGTAATTTTTTGTTATTTTTTTCAACTATAACCCTCCACCACCCACAGAGTCAATCAAATAAAGTCGTCACGTGATGGGCAAATACACGGATTGATTTTAGAGTTCTCAGAAAAAGCGGAGGAATGTTGAAACCATAAGCACATTTTTTAGTAAAAAAATCTAACCCAAAAGAAATAGTTATGAATCTTAAAAATGTGTGCTTGACTTGCGACGTGGCACTGTTGGTTGAGCAGCACCGAACGGAAGGGTTGTAAGTTGTCTCGTTGGCGGATTTCAACTTTGGGAAGGTAAAGTGAAGGTCGTTTAGAAAGATTTGCCCTTCTGCCATAGGAACGTGGAATTTCCACCACTGAGGTAGGGGTGGTGGCAATTGGAGATTAGTACCATGCCACAATTACTTGAGCATAGACAACATCTTCCTGCATAAGCTGTGCAATATTGCCTATAATGAACACAGAAATGGCCACAATAGCTCTCTTTAAAAAATGCTGACGAGTACATTTCTGTGGAGTTCTAAAGGGAGAATGCTGGAAAATCACCTCGGGTTGACAAAATGACAAATGATGAATTTTTACAAAGAGCAAAGTAAACTCAGCAGCTTACGAAGGTTGCGGCGAAAATAAAGAACGTGGTATTTTGGGGGGAAATGTGATGAGACGACAGGGCTTGGGGGCACCTGTGCATTGCTGCGAATAATGAGGAAAAAGAAATGGAAAAGAGAGACAAAGTAGATTTGAAGTTTTCGTGACTGCAGGGATCCATACTCTTTGGTTCAATCGGTAAAGTCACGTAGGTACTCTTAGGTTTTTTCGGTAAAGTCACGTCGTGATTTATTATTTTATTTCTATTATTATTTCTAGTTTTATTTATTTTTTTATTATTATATTTTTTACCTACGTGACTTTACCGAAAAAACCTAAGAGTATGGATCCTTGCAGTCACGAAAGCTTCAAATCTAGAGTCACGCAGGTATAAAATAAAATAAATTAAATCTTGTGTTGTGCCCGAAACGTCGTGATTTAATTTATTTTATACATATGTGACTTTACCGAAAGAACCAAAGAGTAGAGACAAAGTAGTAAGTACCTGGACAACCTACCGAGGTGGTTTCCTTCACAAGGACAGATGTAAGTGCGGCACTGTACTCCTACAAGGATCCACCAATTGGCGATAACGTGCCAACGAGTGCAACGTCGTAAGTTGGCACATACGATATGCATAAAATGTAAT